ATGTTTTATAACTATAAATGGAGTCTAACCTTTAAAAATTGTGAATCACTATTTTGTATACCTAAAACTTATATAATGCTGTAAATCAACTATACCACAAACAACAACAACAACAAAAAACCCACCTGATTGATTGATGCACTGACTGGTGTGGTTTTCAGAGGTTTTCATTGTACTATCACATTGATTTCCATTTGATAAAAATTAAAAAATATACGCTACCCTAAAAAAATCACTTGGCCATAGATATATGGGTTTATTTCTGAACTCTCTATTTCATTGATCTACATGTCTATCATTATATCAGTATCACACTGTTTTGATTATTGTAACTTTCCATAAGTTTTAAAATCTGAAGTGTAAGTCGTTTGATTCTGTTCTTTTTCAAGATTGTTTCGGCTATTCTAGGCCTCTTGAAATTCCATACAAAGTGAAGGATCAGCTTTTCCATTTCTGCCAAAAAAGTTATGGATTTTTGATAGGGATTATGTTGAATCTGTAGACTGCTTTGTATAGTATTGATATTTTAACAAAAGTAAGTCTTCCTATCCATGATGAAGAGATATCTTTCCATTTAATTTCTTTCAGCAATATTTATCCCACAAGTCCCATTGCCTTGGTTAAAATTGCCTTAATATTTTATTCCTTTGAATACTATTGTAAATAGAACTGTTTTTGTAATTTCTTTTCAGAAGTTTTCATTGCTAGTTTATAAAGATAACAGATTTTTATATGTTGATCCAAGGAGAGATAAGAAAGCCTTCTTAAGTGAACAATGCAAAGAAACAGAGGAAAACAGTAGAATGGGAAAGATTAGAGAACTCTTCAAGAAAATTAGAGATACCAAGGGAACATTTCTTGCAAAGATAGGCACAGAAAAGGACAGAAACAGTATGGACCTAACAGAAGCAGAAGACATTAGGAAGAGGTGGCAAGAATACACAGAAGAAACGTACAAAAAAGATCCTAATGACCCGGACAACCACAATGGTGTGATCACACACCTAGAGTCAGACATCCTGGAGTGTGAAGTCAAGTGGGCCTTAGGAAGCACTACTATGAATAAAGCTCGTGGAGGTAACGGAATTCCAGTTGAGCTATTTCAAATCCTAAAAGATGATGCTGTGAAAGTGCTGCACTCAAGTGCCAGCAAATTTGGAAAACTCAGCATTGGCCACAGGATTGGAAAAGGTCAGTTTTCATTCCAATCCCAAAGAAAGGCAATGCCAAAGAATGTTGAAATTACCATCAGTTCAGTTCAGTTCAGTTCAGTCGCTCAGTCATGTCCGACTCTTTGCGACCCCATGAACCACAGCATGCCAGGCCTCCCTGTCCATCACCAACTCCCGGAGTCTACCCAAACCCATGTCCATCAAGTTGGTGATGCCATCCAGCCATCTCATCCTCTGTCGTCTCCTTCTTCTCCTGCCCCCAATCCTTCCCAGCATTAGAGTCTTTTCCAATGAGTCAACTCTTTGCATGAGGTGGCCAAAGTATTGGAGTTTCAGCTTCAGTATCAGTCCTTCCAATGAACACCCAGGACTGATCTCCTTTAGGATGGACTGGTTGGATCTCCTTGCAGTCCAAGGGACTCTCAAGCATCTTCTCCAACACCACAGTTCAAAAGCATCAATTATTCAGTGCTCAGTTGCACTCATTTCACATGCTAGCAAGATTATGCTGAAAATCCTTCAAGCTCGGTGTTAATAGTATATGAACCAAGAATTTCCAGATATTCAAGCTGCATTTAGAAAAGGCAGAGGAACCAGAGATCAAATTGCCAGGATCCACTGGATCATTGAAAAAGTAAGGGAATTCCAGAAAAATATCTACTTCTGCTTCATTGACTATGCTAAAGCCTTTGACTATGTGGATCACAACAAAATGTGGAAAATTCTGAGAAACCTGTATGCAGGTCGAGAACCAACAGTTCAAACCAGACATGGAACAACGGATTTGTTCAGAATTGGGAAAGGAGTACTACAAGACTGTATATTGGCACCCTGCTTATTTAATTTATGTGCCGAGTACACCATGCGAAATGCTGGGCTGGATGAAGCTCAAGCTGGAATCAAGATTGGCTGGAGAAACAACAGTAACCTCAGACATGCAGATGACACCACCCTTATGGCAGAAAGCGAAGAGGAACTAAAGAGCCTCTTGATGAAGGTGAAAGAGGAGAGTGAAAAAGCTGACTTGAAACTCAGCATTCAAAAAACAATTCCAATTCATTTCAGAAAACTCCACATTCAGAAAACTCCAGGGGATAGAGGACAGGGAAGCCTGGTGTGCTGTAGTCCATGGGGTGAAAAAGAGTCAAACACTACTGAGTGACTGAATAACAACTTGCACACTGAAATTGCTGAATTTTCTTATTAACTTAGTGGTTTGTGTGTGTGTGTGTATTATGTAAATATATAACCCCAAAGAATCTATCTGAAGATAATCATGTTATCTTTGAATAGAGATAGTTTTACTTTTTCCTTTCCAGTATGGACATCTTTTCTTTCTTTCTTTTTCTTGTCTCAGCTGACCAGGTTACAACTTACGTTGAAGTAGCTACAGTGAAAACATTATCTTCAGGGGAAAGCTTTTAGGGTTTCACTATTGAGTATGATCTTAGCTGTGTTTTTCATAAATGTACTTAATGTACTTAATCATGTTGGGAAATTTTACTTCTTCATTTTTTGAGGTTTTCTTTTTTTTTTTTTAAATCATGAAAGAGTATTGAATTTTGTCAAGTTCCTTTTCAGTGTCAGCTATGGTCATATGGTTTTTTCCCCATGTTCTATTAATGGCAGGTGTTGAATAGAGTGATTCTTTCTACTGTTGAAATACTCTTCCATTCCTGAGATAAATCCCATTGGTCATGATGTATAATGCTTTTAATATGCTATTGGATTCAGTTTGCTACTATTTCCTTGAGAATTTTTGTTTCTACCAGCTACCCTAAACCACCGCACCACCCAAGGCTACGGAAATCTTTGTAGTTTTTAGATCTGATGGTTTCCTTTAGTCTTTATGAAGTGACAACTGTTGGTCATTCCTTCCTTTGATAGTTATCGTTGACTCCCTTGTCCTGAAATACTCTTTCCTCTTGGTTTCTGAAGCAGTACACCTTCCCATTTTTTCCCTCTCATTTCTAGGTGGTACTCCACCTCCACTGGTGATTCTGATCATCTTTTTAAGTGTTTTATTTCTCAGGGATCCTTTTTAAGTGTTTTATTTCTCAGGGATCCTTTGGAAGATCTCAGTGACTTCCTTCACACCCACCAAACTTTGATGATTGTCTTTATGCTAGCAATTCCCAAGTCAGTGTCTTCCAGATAAGGCCTCCTCTGATCTATACTTGGAGCCATCTTCTGAACAACTCCTCTGGAATGTCTTCCAGGGAGCTAAATAGCCCCCAGGACTCTTTCGTCTTTCGTGTTTGGGCCTCTGCTTACCTGTGCAGGGAATTTTCAGGGGCATTTCAATCTTAAGGAAAGAGGTACAGCATTCATTTCATTTCCTCTGGATCCTGAATCCCAGTTACATTGGTTTTTAGCTCTTCATGCTTCAGAGAATTCCTTAGTCTTCTTCTGTCTTTCTTCATTTGTAATGTGGGGATAATACTTAGTATGAAGATTAATGATAATTAAGAATGATAATATATGTAAAGGTCCTAACTCATATTAACTTCTAAATAAATAGCAGCTATTTATTAACAGTATTGGTCAGACATGAGGGGATGACACACAAGGGAACAGAAAACAATACTAGCTGCTTGTCATTTCTGCTGACACTGATTTATGCTTCCATCCATTTTTATTCTGGGTGGAACCTGAGCAGCAAATACCAGATGAAGAGTAATAGAGCCTTGCTCTAATAATTCTCCTGGGTTCAATCTAGGGATTTATCACTATTACAAGATCATCTTTTGTTTTAATAATTAAGCATCTTTTGGTTAGTGATCAAAAACTGAATGTCATTCTGCTGTATAGAAAACTGTATCTATTAATTAGTGTGCTTTTATACACTCATTGCCTGCCTTAAAGTGACCATCATCTACCCACTGATTTTCATTTATGTATTTGTGGCTTTCTATCTCATCTGTGCTTCAGATTTTGGCTTTACCATTCATGAAACAGAATGGGAAATACATTCACTAAAAATTAGATTAGAATTTGTTACAAGAGAAAGTTGGGAAGTCTCTGCAGTCAGTGCTTTGAAATGATGAATTGCTTTGTTTTAAATATTTAGACACCCATCAATGAAATATTTGTTATTTTCATAGTTAAAAATCAGTTCAATAATCAATTATTAAAGCTCTGATAAATACTTGAAATCTTTCAGTCAAGATCAGAGGAATTTTTTACTTGGAGTAAGGTATTGTAATGGAAATTTTACTGACTTTTTAAGGTTCACTTTAAAAACTAGGTGCCTGTTTTATGTGAGTTCTTTGCTAAAATCATTTTTAAATGCCTTAAAAATCACTCGGACTTGATAATTTGAAAAAATTGATAATTTTTTGATTATTTGAAAAAGATAATTTGAAATAATTATCTTCTCCCAGTTCTTTAACAGAAGGAAAGGCTGCCCTGACTTGGGAGTGCAGTTGTTGTTTTCAAGTCTTAGTAACTTCATTCATTCATTTGTAAATTGTTAAGCGTAAGAAAAGTACAAATTTTGTAAGGTCTACCTCGACACGTACGCTGTGATGGAGGGAATGATGTTTGAAATGCCGGTTTTCACATCCCAAACTCTTCGGCGTTCGAAGAGTTAAATCCGGGCTTGACTTCAGTCCTCAGCCCGGAAAGCCCCCGGGGTCCAAAGGAGCGCGGGACCCTCGGGGCTGACCGGCCCCCAGCGGCGCCGGAACTGCCCGGCTCCCGGCGAGGGGCGGGCCGGCTCCGCCCAGCTTCGCCAGCGACCCCGCCTCCGCGCTGGCACCGCCGCGGCCTCCGCGGTAGCTGCTCCCGATGATGCAAACAGTCACTTCCCGCATCCACTCCCCACAGAGGCCGCGGAGCCGGCGGGAGCCGGGCGCGCCGCCGAGCCGCGCGCCATGGGCAACATCCAGAAGAAGCTGACGCGCAGGAGCGAGGGCGGCAAGCGGCCGGAGAAGGGCACGCCGCGGCGGGGCCGGGCGCCGGGAGCCGGCGCGGACAAGCGGGACCGACCGCGGGCCCCGGCCCCGGCGGGCGGCGCCAATGGGCAGCCGGGAGGCGGGCGGGGCGCCGGGGAGCCCGCGGCCGGCGCGTCCCCGGGAGCCGACGCGCCCCCGCCCGCGCCCGCCGCCCCGGTGGGCCCCGCCGCCCTGAAGAGCCAGGGCAACGAGCTCTTTCAGAATGGGCAGTTCTCCGAGGCGGCGCTCAAATACTCGGCGGCGATCACGCAGCTGGAGCCCGCAGGTGAGTGAGCTGCGCCCGGCGGTGTCCCCGGCCCTTCGCGAATGACGGGCGCCCGCCGCGTCCTTTCCCTTCCCGGGAACCGAGGGCAGGGCGGATGCGGCCGAACCTCGGGGCGCGCCGCGTGTGCCCGGGGCGGGGCGCGTTGGCAGCTGCAGGTCCCGGGCTTGGCCTCCGGCGGCACGGGCACGAAGAGCTGCTCGCAGCCGCCTTAGCAGCGGGTGTAGGACCGCGGTGCAGTGGGAGACCTCAGTCGTCTGCTGAACTGTGATTCCGCCAATGGATTGTAACCATTTAATTAAATGTGATTTTTAGGAAGTGGAAGTGCAGCCGATCTAAGTATCTTATATTCAAATAGAGCAGCATGTTACCTCAAAGACGGAAACTGCAGTGGCTGTATTCAGGATTGTAACAGGTAAACTGCCCGTTTTTCAGCTTTGTCATCAGATTTTCATTTCAGTGGGATGAATGCAGTATTTAATACCCTTCTAACTTTTTTGCGTAAATCTAACTTTTTAAGACATTGAAGGTGCGTTAATTGGTTAACACAAAAACTCATAAATCCTTTTACATATATGAAGACAATTATAGAAGATGTTTGTGCAAACTTTTTTCATTTCTTAACTACCACCTTAATCATACTCTTTCCACATTGATCCCAGAGTATTGGAGAAGCCTTCTGACTGGTGTCTCTGCCTCCTCCAATCCACTGTGGCATCAGGATGACCTTTCCTGAAGCATTATTTTGTGCAGACTGTTTCAGCCTGTGTTCAGTTGCCCGGTATGCTCTTGCAGATCATTATAATCTCTGCTTCCCTGGCGGCTCAGGCGGTGAAGAATCTGCCCGCAATGCAGGAGACCCAGGTTGGATCCCTGGGTCGGGAAGATCCCCTGGAGAAGGGAATGGCCACCCACTCCAGTATTCTTGCCTGAAGAATTCCATGGACAGAGAATCCTGGTGGGCTATAGTCCAAGGGTTCGCAAAGAGTCACTAACACTAACACTTTGTCACCACACTGCACCCCTGCTCTTCCCCACAAAACTCTCAAATGCTCTCATTTGGTCTATATGGGTAATGCCCTCTGCACAACCTTGCTTCAGGAATCTTTCCTCAGCTTCCCCCTCCTCTCCACTTTCCTTGTCACCTCAGAATTCCTGGTCTTCTGCATGGCTGTGACGCTTGACTGTCACTCTCATACCTGTAGGCACGTATGTCACCCTCTGCATAGGAATTTAAACTCTCTGAGGTCAGAAATCGCGTGTGCATCCCTCAAGCACAGTAGTCACCCATGGTACTCAACAAGTTACATGCTGAGATGGATGAGTATATTTACATGAATTAAAAGTATCTTTTTTTTTTAACCATTAAATATTAAGCCTGCTTGAGGAGCCCTTTGGAAAGAAGATACTATTTGTTGTTGTTCAGTCACTAAGTCGTGTCCGACTCTTTGAGACCCCATGGACTGCAGCACACCAGGCTTTCCTGTCCTTCACTGTCTCCCAGAGTCTGCTCAAACTCATGTCCATTGAGTCGATGATGTCATCCAATCATCTCATCTTCTCTTGCCCCCTTCTCCTCTTGCCCTCAGTCTTTCCCAGCATCAGGATCTTTTCCAGTGAGTCGGCTCTTTGCATCAGGTGGCTAAAGTATTGGAGCTTCAGCATCAGTCCTTCCAATGAATATCCAGGGTTGATTTCCTTTAGGATTGACTGGTTTGATGTCTGTGCTGTCCAAGGGCCTCTCAAGAGTTTTCCAGCACCACAGTTCGAAAGCATCAGTTCTTTGGCACTCAGCCTTCTTTATGGTCCCACTGTCACATCCGTACATGACTACTGGAAAAACCCTAGCTTTGATTATATGGACCTTTGTGGGCAAAGAGATGTCTCTGCTTTTTAATACATTGTCTAGGTTTGTCATAGTGTTTCTTCCAAGGAGCAAGCATCTTTTAATTTCATGGCAGCAGTCACCATCCACAGTGATTTTGGAGCCCAAGAAATTGAAATCTGTTCCCACTTTTTCTCCGTCTATTTGCCATGAAGTGATGGAGCCAGATGCCATGATCTTAGTTTTTTGAATGTTGAGTTTTAAGCCAGCTTTTTCACTCTCTTCTTCTACCTTCATCAAAGAGCCCTTTAGTTCCTCTTCGCTTTCTGCATTAATGTGTTAGTGCATCTAAAAAATAAGAAGCTGCATGTACTGGTGTAACCTCACAGCCTTGGTTTACTCCTGTTGTGTGGTATAATTATTAGTATTACTCCCTTTCACTCTTAGAAGCCCTAGTTTGGACAGTGGCATACATGGACACCTTGATTATAAGGTAAACAATTTTTTTTTCATTGACAGTATCAGTTTATATATGTGGGTAAAATCCTGCTGGTATCTGTGCCTGCAGTTTAAAAAGAAAGCCATGAGCTGCTTGTATTTTTTGCCAATTTTACATATTAAAATTTAAAATAAAAAATATTTATATTCACTTTGGTCTGTCTCTAGACATCATTAACAGTTGTGCTAGCTCACAACGTTTATCAGGATTTGGTGAGTTGGGTGAAGTCAAGTTGGTAGTTGAAATCTGACATGATTGGAGTACTACTAATACTATGAAAATTGGCCGATGCCACAAATCTGGGTCTTTTTTCTCAGGAGAGCCAGCTGTTAAATGTTTGCCACTGCCCATAACTAACAATAAGACCAAGTAGATTTGCATAGTATCAAGCACCTTGCGATTTGCAGCTGAGAACCTTTCAGTTCAAGTGTCTGTTGCCTAATACATTACCCTTCAGACTTGTCTCAGTCTTCCTTCAGTGAGTTCAGTACTCCGGTTAAAAAACAGTGGACTTACTTTATCCTTAAGTGAGATGGTGTAAGTGAGATATGGTGTAAGACATTTTCTTGCTAAAATGTGTTGTGTTTCAGTGGAGACCCAGGAGGAAGTCACAGAGGAGACTGTTAAGACTGGAGTGGAGTTTTGTCTTGAAGGAGAGCAGGAGATTGCCTGCCGGGGAGGGAGGAGGCAGAGGGGAAATGGGTGGTGGTTTAGGTGAGGGGTCCTCAGCGAAGGGCTGTATTCTCGGCCAGGGAATCTGGTTCTGCAGGTCAGTACTGTCTCAGCATAAGGTGATTGGGTGATTGGAGTGATTTTACTCCAAAGCAATGATTCTCAAACTCATTTTAATGCCAGGGAAACCATGATTTGCCTTGGGGGACATGTTGAAGTATGGCTGTATTGAAAACTAGTTATTAGCAGAGATATGACTCTATTCTCTTCACCTAAAAAGGTTATATACCTTTTAAAGAAAGCCTATGTTTTAGTTTTTTGGTTAATTATCTTTGCTCCTTGGAAAGTTGTTTGCACTGACTCTTATTACAAGTGGTAGCAGGTTTCAAACAGTGAAAAAGAAAAATTCCCTGGGGGCAAAATTTAAAATAAGGGAGAACTTATGAAATAACTTTCATAGATTTACCTGTGAAATAACTTTTTATGCACTTTTTTTGGGGAAAGTATTTGATTTTTAAGTGTCTACAATCTTAGGGCCTATTCTGAAGCACTTCCCTGAGCTCTTTTCCAGGGGCATATGAGGGTCAAGAGTTGCTGTTGGGAGCATGACACTTGTTTGAGAAACTCAGGGGCTGTGGGCCCTGCCTTCTCCTCTCAGCATCTCCAAGTTTCTAGGTTAGGCTTCCAGGTGAAGCATGAAACAGGGGTATGACACCTAAGAAGAGTTTAAAACATTAGTGGTTTTAAACAATAAAATAATTTACTTTTTATTCTCATAATTGTTGTTCAGCTGCTAAGTTGCGTCTGTCTCTTTGTGATCCCATGGACTGCAGCATGCCAGGCTCCTCTGTCTTCCACTGTCTCCTGGAGTTTGCTTAAATTCACATCCTCTGTCATCCCCTTCTCCTCCTACCTTCAATCTTCCCCAACATCAGGGTCTTTTCCAGTGAGACCTCTTCCCATCAGGTGGCCAAAGTATTGGAGCTTCAGCATCAGTCCTGCCAACGAATATTCCAGATGGATTTCCTTTAGGATTGACTGATTTCCTTGCAGTCCAAAGGACTCTCAAGAGTCTTCTCCAACACCATAATTCGAAAGCATCAATTCTTCAGCACTCAGCCATCTTTATGGTCCAACTTTTATGTTGGTACATGACTACTGGAAAAACCATAAAACAATTCTCGTAATTGTTTATCAGCTAAAAAACATCTTCACAGCTCCCAATCTGTCACTTTTTGAGTTATCTAAACATATCAAAACTTTTTCCTGGACTTCCCATTGAGAGTATTTTGACAGACTCAAGACAAATGAATGTTGCCTAATAATTCTATTTTTGCTTATCTTTGCTTCTCTCTGATGGACTTGAAATTAGAATGTTCTTTTAGATTCTTAGCTGTTTTAACTTGAGTAGTTAAACTTGAGTAGTTAAACTTTTGTAAACTCTGATTTAAAAGTTCTCTGTGTGTGTGCTTATGAATAGATGTACTTTTTTTGTTTTGTTTTGTTTAGTGGAACTCCCATTCATAAGCTCAACATTCATTTTCAGGATTGTGATTAAAAAGAAAAACTTTGCATTTACTCAGCTGGGAAATGCTATAAATTAAATGCATCATCTCATTCAGTTTTAGATTCCACGCCTACCTCAGGTCCATCTTGTGGATAAATAGCTCCTCTGGCATTGGAAGTCTTTTGTAAAATAGGGGTACTCTTGTGTCTGTGACCTACATTTATAATTAGTGTTCGTGTAGTTAATATCTCATAAGCATTAAACTAAGGTAGATTTAAGACAGGGGTACAGGTGATAGATCCTGATACCCAAAAACCTGTTTTCTAGTGTTTGAGTGTTTTTAATAGACTTTTATTTTTAAAATAACTTTTACTGGTTACAAGAGTAACACATACCTATTACGGAAAAAAAAATTTTAAATCCAGTACAGTGCAAAAGAGATCATTAAAATCATCCTCAATCCTAGTACCTAGGCAGAGCAAAAATGATTCTTTTTCAAAGAAATTATGCTGATTAGGTTTAATGACATTTCTAGAACAAAGTCAGTGATATACAGCCCAGGAGCACACCCACATGTGCAGTTGAGGATCCGTACAATGTGAAGAATTACCAAGGGCTCCGGGTGGCAAGGTGACTGTGCCTTTCTTAATATGTGGTGCTTTCATCTGCGCTTGTGGTGGCAAGAGTGTGGGTCCTGAAGGTTCACTTGGGCGGGTTTGCTGAGCGCCTCCAGTGGCCCTCTGTGATCTAGGTGCTGGGATATAGTAATGATCGAGACCAGCAATGCCCTTGGTCTCCCGTGGCTTAAGTTCAGAAGATCAGGCTTGTGGGCAGATCGCTCCCTCATCTGTGACCTGCACATATGAATATGTACCTCCCAGGCCTGTTGTGACATTAGGTGAGCACATCTGCAGAGACTCACACCAACAGGTGTTGTCAGGGCTTCCTCCTTCCAGATCTCTGTAGGCGGGGATAGACAGATCTCCTGGGGAAGAAATCATGCTTTTCCTGAGGCAGATCAAATGTCTGATATATGCAAACTGCTTGTGCAGAAGAATCACCAGGCAAGCAAACCTTTATCCCCACTGTGGACAGTCTGGTGCAGATTCTTGCTAGCGGATCAGAGAGGAAGTAGGCTCTTCATGGGATCTCTGTGTGGAATATTAATAAATGTTGGTATTGATCCATAATACTTCTTGACAGTTTCAACTGATTTTGTCAAAACTAAGAGTACAATAGTTTTCACTTATAAATACCATCTTTTGATTGTATGCTTTATTTCAGAGTATAGTGAAGTGCATTAAGTTAGTGACGTAGCCTTAAGCAGTTACTTCAAACAAAACCAAGAACATAACCTTGGACTATGTCTCTAGTGATACTGGAAGTGCTTCACAGAATAGAAGGAGCACTAGAAAATTCATGACTTACAGAAATCACTGTATACTAACTTCCACAATTTCCTCCAGTCTATTTTTGAAGCTCTTTGGCAGCAAGTAAATCATAATCAACTGTGTTAAATTTTAGAAGGCTGATTTTCAAAAGGTGTTGTAGGTATTGTAGTCCTGTGCTAATAAAAAATTACATAGGTGCAAATAAAATTCTCCCTTGGATCTGTCAGTAACAAGAACCTGGTGAAAAGCCTCCTCTGTCCCGGTGCCATGTGGCCTCTATTGGCCCATGAGGGTGGGGGGGCGACCCTGGGAGGGGGGCTTGGAGGGGTAGGCAGTGCCTGCTGCCTGGAAGCTCAGTCTCACTGGGGGAAGAGCAGGTGCCAAAGGGGACTGGTTTAAAAGAAAGGCAGTAACCACAGATTGATTGCTCTGCTGCTCTGGGTTTGCCTTTCTGGTATGTTGCCAGGCCCCCAAGGTGAAATATCAGATATGCATGTATGTGAGAGTTCAGTCCTAACAGATATGTCAGGTTAGTATAAGTTAGGGAGTGATCTTCATAACAAATGACATATAATATTTCTGTCTCCTTTAGGGCCCTGGAACTTCATCCATTCTCCATCAAGCCTCTTCTTCGACGTGCAATGGCCTATGAAACTGTAGAGCAGTATCAGAAAGCTTACGTGGATTATAAAACAGTGTTGCAAATAGACTGTGGAATCCAGATAGCAAATGACAGTATTAACAGGTAACCTAATCAGAGGCTGCTGCCCAAGGGCGAGTTGTTTTCTAATGGAATGAGGTTTTGTTTCTTCTCCTCCTTCCAGGTCAAGGTGTGGACGTGTTTTTCATTATTGGCATTACACAGGGATGCATGCCTTTTTTCACCCCTTCAAAACCCCTTTCGCTCTCTTAACTTTCTGACTATCCCGTGATATGTTTTGAGTTGTCCTCTGACACCTTTATATTTGTTTCCTGGTCTACTTATTACTGTTCAGTGAATATTATATATGATATGCACTTAATTTTAAAAACAGCACAGGGTATGGCTCTTCTGTGCAACTCAAGATGCACAAAATTTTATTTTAGTGTTTGTTAATATCTGTGGGGTTAGAAAGGTGTTTTCAGTGATGTCATATGTCGGCACTGATTATAGGACGAAATCCAAAAATGTAGCAAAGCCTGCCATGTTGAGTCTTCTGCAGGATCTGCAGGTGTTCATTGGCACCACATCTGTCAGTGGAAACACGTTTTATTTTCTCCTCAGGAGAGTGGATGTTTTATGAGCCTGCTAGATGTTTGTGTTATATGCCCTTTAGATAGATGCTCATCTAGGATGGTGATGTCGTCCCTTGTGGCTCAGTCAGTAAAGAACCTGCCTGCGAAGTGGGAGACCTGGGTTCGATCCCTGGGTGGGGAAGATCCCCTGGAGGAGGGCATGGCCACCCACTCCAGTATTCCTGCCTGGAGAGTCCAGGGACAGAGGCGCCTGGCCGGCTACAGTTCATGGGGTCACAAACAGTCAGACATGACTGAGCGACTAAGCACAGCACAGGATGATGAAATAGCACAGAATTTGGATCTAATTTGTATTGTGACCTGTTTACTCCCTAGGTGATAACAGGAAAGTAAGAGCTTCCAGATTTCATAAATTGCTTTCACGTGAACTTTGAAAAGTTACTCCTTGGGTAACGTTTCCAGTTATGTATGATATTCTCTAATTCCATTTGTCCAAAGTATCATTTCTTTTGAGGATTTTTGGGTGCCACACTGTGCCTTGTGTTGGTCTAGGGTACCATGTCCCACACACCCCACAGAAAGAGCGGAAGGGGGAAAAGTGACATAGTCTCTGTCTTTAAGCAAAGTAGAATGTTGCCTGCGGCGGGGACAACTTAACATAAGACACGTGATCCCCAAGCATGAACGTTAGTTGATGAGGCGGGGGCATCACAGAGGGGTCAGGCTGCCTTGGTCTGTGGGCTGCAGCTGTCGGAGAAGGAGCCTTGGAGGTGGTCGCGAAGGGCATTGATTGACCACGAAGGGGACCTTGAACAAAGCTGAAGAAGATGAGAGCTCGTGTTTTACAGTCCTGTCTTACCTCCCCGCCTGGTCCCACTGCACTTGGCAGAAAACTTGGAAAGATCTGTGTGTTGAGTGGGCAGCTTTTCCCTGGTGCTTCTTCTCTGTGGTCGCTAGGGACCCGCCTGTTGGGAAGAAAAGAGTAGATCCTGGTTATTGGATCTAGAGTGGGGCCCGATGGAACCGTGGGCATTCGGGGCATGGTCTCCATCCTGTAAAATCAGGGGTGTCCCTGGGAGCCCTCCAAGCCTTCTCTCCTGCCTCACAGCCGCCTGGTTGCGCATCACTTGTGGCCTCCACATGGGCTCCTGAAGGCTCTTCTTCCCCACTTTTGTCCGGCTAAGTCCCTTCTGCCCTTTAGGAGAGGACGTCCCCTGATCCACCCATCTCCCCCAGCACCCGTGCCCCTCAGGCGCCTCTCCCTCCAAGCTGTGCCTTCTTCCCATGTTGTCTGTTTTCATGAAGTTCTTTTAGATTCATTCCACTGAGAGTTCTGGGAAGTCAGGGTTGTGTTTTATGCAGCTGTGCTGTTGTCCTACCTTGTACAGTAGGCAGCCTCAGCAAAATTGTGTGGAGTGAATGCATTCTCCAGCAGACCCTGTGCTGTGGGTTTCTGCTATTAATTCACCCATTCTCTGCCTGGGAGTCTCCGAGGTGGTTGGGAGAGTAGGAGCTTCTCCCAGGGTTAGAGGTTCTCGTGAAAAAAATTGGGAAGACACCTGAAGTCTTCCCACTTCTGCCCGAGACAAGGGGCCTGTGAAGAGGTGTTTTAGGAACTCTGGTTCATAGTGATAGACTGAATGGGTCTGAAGGGAGAAATTTATGTCTGAGAGACTGTGATCATTCATATTTCTGAACCTTCTACATTCTTTACACTTTTTTAAAAAATTGAAGTAAAATTCACATAACAACTGAATTTACTATTTTTAGGTGTACAATTTAGTGGCCTTTAGTACTCTCACAGTATTGGACAGCCACTATTTGGAACAGTTCCACTATTTGGAACTAATAGTTCCAAAATACTTCTTCCCCCCTCAAAGGGAAACCCCCATTAAACCCCTGATTTGCTTTCTATCTCTGTGGATTTACTTATTCTGGAGAGTTCATATAAATAGAAACATACAGTGTGTGTAGCTTTTGTGCTTGACTCACATAGCTTATGTTTTCAAGGTTGGTCCATGATGTGGCATGTGTGATGTTGTCATTTCTTTTTATGACTGAGTAATATTCCAGTGTGTGGATATGTCACATTGTGTTCACCCGTTAATCTGTTGAAGGACATTTCAGCTGTTTCCACCATTTGGCTATTGTGAATAGTGCTGCTGTGAACATCATGTGCAAGGTTTTGTTTGCATACCTGTTTTCAGTTCCTTTTGGTGTATTCCTAGGCATGGAATTGCTGGATCATACGGTAATTCTGTTTAGTTTTCTGAGAATTGTATTGTAATTTTTAGATGTACTCAAGAAGGTGCTTTTACACAGATTGACTTTTAAGACTCATTCATTTTTTTTAATGGAATGGTTATTGCTTATATATCGTTTTATGAGAAGGTGAGGAGGCTTTGTCTGGTTTTGTCATATATATTTTCTGTAAAATATTCATTAAAAAATTTCACTATTGCTTTTCATGAACCCTATATTTATGCTTGCTTTTCCATCTAAGCAGCTTTTTTTGGGGGAAAAAAAATTTAGACATCTGTGCTTATTTTGTTTGTTTCTTCCATTAACCATATTCCTCTTTTCCTCTCCAGGAATCTCATATGTTACATTTCCCTGCATATACTTATTTACTCCCTGACAACACATCATCTCTTTTAAGCTGCTTCTTCCTTCCTTTCTGCTGGTAATACAAGTTTTGCTTGAAAATTCTTTTTTCTAAAGCATCTTTATTCTTCCGCTATGGTGGGTGGTTATACATTATTTTTCAGAAAAAAATTTTTGCACTAAAATATGAGATGTGGCTATCATAACCAAAAATCACTGTTGAAATTTAAGTTTATGAAACTGTAGAGAAAATGTTTGTATTACATTTGGCTCTATATAAATAAAATTTTTTCACATGAAAAGTACTACTGAGTTAACTAATTTGAATGCATTCTACTAATTACCAGTGACTTTCTCAGTCTTGGGGAGCACCTTTTTTTTTTTTTTTTTTTTTTTTTGAGCACCTTTTTTTAAAACCAGATTTATCCCAGACATAATTCAGTTTTGTTTTAAAATCTAAGTATGATACTTTGTGTGTTTAGAATGATGGGAAAGTGATAATCAGGGGTGGTAATCTGAGTATTATTTATAGCCATTAGCAAATGTCATTGTTACAAGGGTCCTTGTAGTAGACTCCAGTATCAAATTCTTTCATCTATATGCATATGACAACACAATGAGTGGATCGTTTTAGAGATGAAAAAATGCAAGGTGAGAGTATCTTAACCATATGTTAATGTTTCAAGAAGAAGCACTGTTCCATTTGACAGCCACTCCACATCAGTTTTGGGCTTCCCACGTGGCTGAGTGGTAAAGAATCCTGCCAGTGCAGAAGACACAGGTCCCATTCCTGGACTGGGAAGATCCCCTGGAGAAGGGAATGGCAACCCACTCTTGCCTGGGCAATCCCATGGAGAGGAGCCTGGTGGGCTACAGTCCATGGGGTTGCAAAGAGTCAGACACGACTGAGCGACTAAGCACACGCAGGTCCGCACCCTCACCGGCTTTAGCAGCCAGTCCTGTAGACCTGTCTGTTGTATCCAGTTTGGGCATAGAAATTCTAAAGTCCTTCTGTTAAGTCTCAAGAGTAATAATCACTTTAGCAATTATATGAAATGTTATGTGGGGCACATTTCTTCTAGGCTTCCTAAATTTTAGTTTTATACTTGACTTTTTTAACAAATTTAAATTTTATTGCATATACATTAAAAAATTTCTTAAACCAATTAGAAGTGTCTTCATTTTTTCTTTTGATACAAAAAAAGATCTAAAGTTACATAGTTTGGAACAACTTTTAAAAGTCCTTTCAAAGACAGTTTATGTGGACAGCAAATAGCTCAAGTCTGACTCTCTGTGACCCCGTGAGCTGCGTAGCATTTGTAAGTTTTACCTTGATGTGACCTTCAGTAATATAAAAAAGCAAACTGCATGTTTAACAGAGAAAACTGGTTTTCTTTTTAGGATAACAAAGATTTTGATCGCTCTGGATGGCCCAAACTGGCGGGAGAAGCTGCCACCCATTCCTTCTGTGCCCACCTCCGCACAAGTGCGGGCTTGGCGGCCTGCGGCAGAGACGCCCCCAGACCAAGTGGGAGATTCCTGCCGCCATCCCCAGCCGGGCACACCAGGTAGGGGAAGCCTGCACTTGTTTCTTCTGAGGGTTATTGTGAGCTGTGCGTATGATTTTCACAGTAAAGCAGGAGGATAAGTGCATGATATCAGGCATCAGACCTGGGTTTAAGTTTAAGACCCTGCTCTCCCTCTGTCTAACTGCAGAGTCTTAAGGAGGTGCTGCCCACCTCCAGTGTCTTCATGTATATAAAAGGGGGGAGATGTGAGTGTCTCACGGAGTTATGCTCAGGAATAAGGGGAGATATGCATGCAGCATACTCAGCACAGCATGCTGCCTGTGGAAGCGCACAGTAACTGCTTCATAGAGCTGGACCATAAAGAAAGCTGAGCGCCAAAGAATTGCTGCTTTTGAACTGTGGTGTTGGAGAAGACTCTTGAGAGTCCCTTGGACTGCACGGAGATCCAACCAGTCCATCCTAAAGGAGATCAGTCCTGGGTGTTCATTGGAAGGACTGATGCTGAAGCTGAAACTCCAATACTTTGGCTACCTGATGCAAAGAAGTGACTCATTTGAAAAGACCCTGATGCTGGGAAATACTGAAGGCGGGAGGAGAAGGGGACAACAGAGGATGAGATAGATGGTTGGATGGTATCACCAACTCAATGGACATGTGTTTGAGTCAGCTCCGGGAGTTGGTTATGGACAGGGAGGTCTGGTGTTCTGCAGTCCATGGGGTCACAAAGAGTCGGACACGACTGAGTGAACTGAACTGAACTGAACTGACTGAACCTCTTCATAAAGGTTGTTGTTTGATCGCTCAGTTGTGTCTGACTCTGCAGCCCCATGGACTATAGCTCAGGCTCCTCTGTCCGTGGGATTTCCCAGGCAAGAATACTGGAGTGGGTTGCCACTTCTTCCTCCAGGGTATCTTCCCATTCTGAGCATTGAACCTGCGTCTCCTGCACTGCAGGTGAATTCTTTACCACTGAGCCACCAGGGAAGCTCCTAATGAAGGTGGAGTCAGCATTGTTATTAATAATAAGAAAAAGAATTAAGTAGCCATGTAGTTCTCATCATACCATGAATGTGGTGGCAAGGCTAGTGTATTGAAATTGATGTTTTTGAAAGAATAAAGCCTTATAACATGTATCTTAGCAGTACCTCCTCCCTTACATCGTAGTTGTTCAGGTCCACAACTGCATCCCCACAGTGCCTACCTCAGCACTTTGTGTAGTGTGTGTAGTCAGTGTGACTTCACGCTTGCCTTCTGCCTGAAAGCCAGCTGAGGCTCCATTTCTACTGCCTGCTCAGGGACCCATGTGTGTCTTTGTTGGGCTTCATCTTGCACAGCCCCTGAGGTTCCTGAACTGGCATGTCCCAAAAGCTGGTGTTAGACCCTCACCCTTTTCCTTGCCTAGAGAGAAGAGGCAGGCATCTTCTGCCAAGGCTTTTAAATGGGCAGCAGTCCTGGGGAAAGTGTGGAGATCTCTAGTTTCTAGAGTCTGTAATCAGTGGGGACTATAACAAAGTATTCGGTCAGTAAAGGGTAGCTCTTCATTATTAATAATGTGCAGAAACTAACCATGCTGTAGATATGTGCTGGCAAGTCATGAGCACAAGAATAATCAGTTCTTTCTGTTCATATTTATTAGTGAGACTGGATTCCACATTCCTAAAAACTGTGTGGGAAGAAAAGCTTGAGGAAAATTTTTCAACAAATTAGAGGGAAAAAATCCTCTGTAATAATCTGTTTTAGAGCGTACATAGACGGCAAGATTTATGGCGAGTGTCATTTGGCTGCATACTGTGAGATTTTTTGAAACATAAAACATTAGGCAGAAATATTCTGTGATTTGAAATAAGGGATGAAAAATTAATATTCCTGCCATTTGTGCAGATGGACAAATAAGGTTATCATTTATATTCTGAGTTTATACTATAAATTCAGTGCATCTATCAGGATCTTTAGGTCACAGAATTTAAAGATATATTTTAAAATTTAAGTTATGGATTTTCATTTCATATCTAGGTACTCTATAAAGTCAATACATAGATTTAAAACTTTAGATTTTAATATTTTATGTATGTTAGACAACCTTGTTAGTCACAGAAAATCTGTTGACTTATAACTGTATGGAAATAGTTTTGGCTCAAAGTAACTGAAAGGGCCCAGGCAGACTCCAAAATCAGGCACGATTTGTCAGGGCTCAGGGTATGGCCAGAAATACAGAACTGCAGCAGTTTTAGACTTAATGACCACACAAATCAGTGTCCAAAGAGGGAGACACCACTGCTTTTGGTGGTGTTAAGAATGAGGAAATAGTTGCCCTAAAGACCTAGTTTTTTTTAGCCTGTTGTTCTGTAGGCTAAGCTGTCTTGGTATTTATGGTAATGAGTCATGTGCTCATTCTTGAGCCACTCCCTATGATGAAGAAATGCCCTGGTTGGCTTAGACCCAAGTTCTGATTGGTGGGGTCAGCTTCCCCCCCGGACACGTGGGCTGAGTAGGAGAGGAGTGACAGCTGCGTGAATATCGGGGTATCCTTAGGAAGAAGGAAATGGATCCCAAGTGGAGCGTCAGCCATGCTCACAGCAAGATAATAGGCAACAGTAACAGTTGGGACTCTCTGATTGCAGAAAACCCAACCATGAATGTCTTAAGCAGAAAAGGTTGTTTATTGGCTCCCCACTTGTGGAAAAGTCCACAGGTAGGCTTGCTGCTCGGGCAGCTGGATTCAGGGCTCAGAGGTCTCTGAGCTCTCTGTCTTGGCATCTCTCTTGCTCTGTTGACCCCATTCTCAGACAGATTCTCCCCTTGTGTTGCACGATGACAAAATAGCCCCTTCTTTTATCCTCATGTTCCACAGGGAAAAGCAAGAATTACCTTAGCAGAAGCTGCCACAAAAATCTTATTGTCGCTCATTGGCTCTCATAAGTCCTTCCCTGACCAATTAGCTGACTGTGGCCAAGGGAGTATAATGTGCTGGTTAGTAAAGCTCAGATTACCCCAAGAGGTAGGGCTGGGGTGGGGTTGCTTTACTGAAAGCACAGGAGCAGAGAGGGGAGGCATACCAATATGGATAAAGTAATATAATTGCTTCTATTTTATTTTCTAATTAAAAAAAACAGTGTCGTCATTGTGTAATCAAATTTTTACTTGTAGCCAATTTATCTTTTTAATTTGTATACAAAATTTTGTTCCATTTAGACTTTAGATCTGTATGGTTTGTGGTCACTTAGTTTACAGTATACTTAAAGTATTGTAGAGGTGATTATAGAATAATTCCACTTTTTTTGTGTGTCCCATAGATGAAAAAGTATTTAAAACCCTTAAAGAAGAAGGAAATCAATGTGTAAAAGACAAAAACTATAAAGATGCCCTTAGTAAATACAGTGAATGCTTAAAGATTAACAACAAGGAATGTGCCATTTATACAAACAGGCAAGTTCTCTGTCACTTTTTCTATGTCTTATGTTAATATTTTTGATGAAAAAATTATACTGATTAATTGCCAAAGTTTTACCCCATGACTCTGAGAATTTGGTATACAGTAAATTGTTTTAAGTGAGTGTTTTTTTTCTTTTAAAAGAGGTGAGGCCATAGGAGAGATTGAAAGCCTGAGGTGTCTTAGTATCTTGTTGCTGGCAGGGCTGACACAGGCTGTGTTCCTGCTCAGCCATGGCTGCCTTGGCTGATGCTGCCCTGCCCCTCCCTGGTGTGAGCCCTCCCTGCCCTCCCTCCCTGGTGTGAGCCCTCCCTCCCCTCCCTCCCTGGTGTGAGCCCTCCCTGCCCTCCCTCCCTGGTGTGAGCCCTCCCTGCCCTCTCTTCCTGGTGTGAGCCCTCCCTGGTGTGAGCCCTCCCTCCCCTCCCTCCCTCCCTGGTGTGAGCCCTCCCTCCCCTCCCTCCCTCCCTGGTGTGAGCCCTCCCTCCCCTCCCTCCCTGGTGTGAGCCCTCCCTGCCTCTCCCTCCCTGGTGTGAGCCCTCCCTGCACTCCCTCCCTGGTGTGAGCCCTCCCTCCCCTCCCTGGTGTGAGCCCTACCTGCCTCTCCCTCCCTGGTGTGAGTCCTCCCTGCCCCTCCCTCCCTGGTGTGAGCCCTCCCTCCCCTCCCTCCCTGCCTCTCCCTCCCTGGTGTGAGCCCTCCCTCCCCTCCCTCCCTGGTGTGAGCCCTCCCTGCCTCTCCCTCCCTGGTGTGAGCCCTCCCTGCACTCCCTCCCACCCTGGTGTGAGCCCTCCCTGGTGTGAGCCCTCCCTGCCCCTCCCTCCCTCCCTGGTGTGAGCCCTCCCTGCCCCTCCCTCCCTCCCTGGTGTGAGCCCTCCCTCCCTCCCCTCCCTCCCTGGTGTGAGCCCTCCCTGCCCCTCCCTCCCTCCCTGGTGTGAGCCCTCCCCTCCCTCCCTCCCTGGTGTGAGCCCTCCCTCCCCTCCCTCCCTCCCTGGTGTGAGCCCTCCCTCCCCTCCCTCCCTGGTGTGAGCCCTCCCTGCCCTCCCTCCCTGGTGTGAGCCCTCCCTGCCTCTCCCTCCCTGGTGTGAGTCCTCCCTGCACTCCCTCCCTGGTGTGAACCCTCCCTCCCCTCCCTGGTGTGAGCCCTCCCTGCCCCTCCCTCCCTCCCTGGTGTGAGCCCTCCCTCCCTGGTGTGAGCCCTCCCTGCCCCTCCCTCCCTCCCTGGTGTGAGCCCTCCCTCCCTGGTGTGAGGCCTCCCTGCCCCTCCCTCCCTCCCTGGTGTGAGCCCTCCCTCCCCTCCCTCCCTGGTGAGCCCTCCCTGCCCCTCCCTCCCTCCCTGGTGTGAGCCCTCCCTCCCTGGTGTGAGGCCTCCCTGCCCTCCCTGCCCCTCCCTCCCTCCCTGGTGTGAGCTCTCCCTGCCCCTCCCTCCCTCCCTGGTGTGAGCCCTCCCTGCCCCTCCCTCCCTCCCTGGTGTGAGCCCTCCCTGCCCCTCCCTCCCTCCCTGGTGTGAGCCCTCCCTCCCTGGTGTGAGGCCTCCCTGCCCCTCCCTCCCTCCCTGGTGTGAGGCCTCCCTGCCCTCCCTGCCCTCCCTCCCTGGTGTGAGCCCTCCCTCCCTGGTGTGAGGCCTCCCTGCCCCTCCCTCCCTCCCTGGTGTGAGGCCTCCCTGCCCTCCCTGCCTCTCCCTCCCTGGTGTGAGCCCTCCCTCCCCTCCCTCCCTCCCTGATGTGAGGCCTCCCTGCCCTCCCTGCCCTCCCTCCCTGGTGTGAGCCCTCCCTGCCCCTCCCTCCCTCCCTGGTGTGAGCCCTCCCTCCCTGGTGTGAGCCCTCCCTCCCCTCCCTCCCTCCCTGATGTGAGGCCTCCCTGCCCTCCCTGCCCTCCCTCCCTGGTGTGAGCCCTCCCTGCCCCTCCCTCCCTCCCTGGTGTGAGCCCTCCCTGCCCCTTCCTCCCTCCCTGGTGTGAGCCCTCCCTCCCTGGTGTGAGGCCTCCCTGCCCTCCCTGCCTCTCCCTCCCTGGTGTGAGCCCTCCCTGCCCCTCCCTCCCTCCCTGGTGTGAGCCCTCCCTCCCTGGTGTGAGGCCTCCCTGCCCTCCCTGCCCTCCCTCCCTGGTGTGAGCCCTCCCTCCCTGGTGTGAGCCCTCCCTGCCCCTCCCTCCCTCCCTGGTGTGAGCCCTCCCTCCCTGGTGTGAGCCCTCCCTCCCTGGTGTGAGCCCTCCCTCCCTGGTGTGAGGCCTCCCTGCCCCTCCCTCCCTCCCTGGTGTGAGCCCTCCCTCCCTGGTGTGAGCCCTCCCTCCCTGGTGTGAGCCCTCCCTTCCCTCCCTCCCTCCCTGGTGTGAGCCCTCCCTCCCCTCCCTCCCTGGTGTGAGCCCTCCCTGCCCTCCCTCCCTGGTGTGAGCCCTCCCTGCCCCTCCCTCCCTCCCTGGTGTGAGCCCTCCCTCCCTCCCCTCCCTCCCTGGTGTGAGCCCTCCCTGCCCCTCCCTCCCTCCCTGGTGTGAGCCCTCCCTGCCCCTCCCTCCCTCCCTGGTGTGAGCCCTCCCTCCCCTCCCTCCCTCCCTCCCTGGTGTGAGCCCTCCCTCCTCTCCCTCCCTCCCTCCCTGGTGTGAGCCCTCCCTCCCCTCCCTCCCTGGTGTGAGCCCTCCCTGCCCTCCCTCCCTGGTGTGAGCCCTCCCTTCCCTCCCTCCCTGGTGTGAGCCCTCCCTGCCCTCCCTCCCTGGTGTGAGCCCTCCCTGCCCTCTCTTCCTGGTGTGAGCCCTCCCTGGTGTGAGCCCTCCCACCCCTCCCTCCCTCCCTGGTGTGAGCCCTCCCTCCCCTCCCTCCCTGGTGTGAGCCCTCCCTGCCCCTCCCTCCCTCCCTGGTGTGAGCCCTCCCTCCTCTCCCTCCCTCCCTCCCTGGTGTGAGCCCTCCCTGCCCCTCCCTCCCTCCCTGGTGTGAGCCCTCCCTCCTCTCCCTCCCTCCCTCCCTGGTGTGAGGCCTCCCTGCCCTCCCTCCCTCCCTGGTGTGAGCCCTCCCTGCCCCTCCCTCCCTCCCTGGTGTGAGCCCTCCCTGCCCCTCCCTCCCTCCCTGGTGTGAGCCCTCCCTGCCCCTCCCTCCCTCCCTGGTGTGAGCCCTCCCTCCCTGGTGTGAGCCCTCCCTGCCCTCCCTCCCTCCCTGGTGTGAGCCCTCCCTGCCCCTCCCTCCCTCCCTGGTGTGAGCCCTCCCTGCCCTCCCTCCCTCCCTGGTGTGAGCCCTCCCTGCCTCTCCCTCCCTCCCTGGTGTGAGCCCTCCCTGCCCCTCCCTCCCTCCCTGGTGTGAGCCCTCCTTCCCTCCCCTCCCTCCCTGGTGTGAGGCCTCCCTGCCCCTCCCTCCCTCCCTGGTGTGAGCCCTCCCTGCCCCTCCCTCCCTCCCTGGTGTGAGCCCTCCCTCCCCTCCCTCCCTGGTGTGAGCCCTCCCTGCCCCTCCCTCCCTCCCTGGTGTGAGCCCTCCCTGCCCCTCCCTCCCTCCCTGGTGTGAGCCCTCCCTCCCTCCCCTCCCTCCCTGGTGTGAGCCCTCCCTCCCCTCCCTCCCTCCCTGGTGTGAGCCCTCCCTGCCCCTCCCTCCCTCCCTGGTGTGAGCCCTCCCTGCCCCTCCCTCCCTCCCTGGTGTGAGCCCTCCCTCCCTCCCCTCCCTCCCTGGTGTGAGCCCTCCCTCCCTCCCCTCCCTCCCTTGTGTGAGCCCTCCCTGCCCCTCCCTCCCTCCCTGGTGTGAGCCCTCCCTGCCCCTCCCTCCCTCCCTGGTGTGAGCCCTCCCTCCCTCCCCTCCCTCCCTGGTGTGAGCCCTCCCTCCCCTCCCTCCCTCCCTGGTGTGAGCCCTCCCTGCCCCTCCCTCCCTCCCTGGTGTGAGCCCTCCCTGCCCCTCCCCTCCCTCCCTGGTGTGAGCCCTCCCTCCTCTCCCTCCCCTCCCTCCCTGGTGTGAGCCCTCCCTCCCTCCCCTCCCTCCCTTGTGTGAGCCCTCCCTGCCCCTCCCTCCCTCCCTGGTGTGAGCCCTCCCTGCCCCTCCCTCCCTCCCTGGTGTGAGCCCTCCCTCCCTCCCCTCCCTCCCTGGTGTGAGCCCTCCCTCCCTCCCCTCCCTCCCTGGTGTGAGCCCTCCCTCCCCTCCCTCCCTCCCTGGTGTGAGCCCTCCCTGCCCTCCCTCCCTCCCTGGTGTGAGCCCTCCCTGCCTCTCCCTCCCTCCCTGGTGTGAGCCCTCCCTCCCCTCCCTCCCTGGTGTGAGCCCTCCCTCCCCTCCCTCCCTGGTGTGAGCCCTCCCTGCCCTCCCTCCCTCCCTGGTGTGAGCCCTCCCTGCCCCTCCCCTCCCTCCCTGGTGTGAGCCCTCCCTCCTCTCCCTCCCCTCCCTCCCTGGTGTGAGCCCTCCCTCCCCTCCCTCCCTGGTGTGAGGCCTCAGCCTCGCCCTTCAGAGTGGGACCAGGAATCAGCTGTCTTCTACACTAGTGTCTCTAGTGCCCTGTTCCTCTTGAAGTCCTGAGGACAGGGTCTGCATCTTCTGGAGTGCAGTCGGGATGAGCCGACTGTTCCAGGACACTGCTCACATTATTTATGTTGAAAAAGGTAGTTATCTGGAATATGGTGATAGGGGATTTTTTTAGGGAGTAGAGAGTTTTCAGTCATAAGGACAATTAAGGTATGATTCCTAAACAATAGTTACTTGGCATGGGTTTCTATAGCTATTTCAGAAAATATTTTAAACTTAAGTTCTCACTTTTATTTTTCCACATGTTTTCCTCTTTTTGGTGACCTTCTTTTGTGAAAATACCAGCAGGTATTTTTCTGCCCTTCTCCCGTTCGGCCTCTGTGGTCTTGGGCGTCAGGGGGCCTCTTAATTTTCCCCAGAGACTGCCTCCCCTCTCGTGCAGACAGCTCACGTGCCTGGCTCTTTCCTGCTCCCTCTCTAAGGCTTTTCTTTCTTTCTTTCTTTTTTTTAGGCTTTTCTTTCCCTGCTGTTCTTGGGTTTCTAAAGGTGTAGATCCCTTTTTTGCTCTAATATCCTCTGGCCCATTTCATCCTCTCCCCAGCTCCATTTACCACCTTCCAGTTCTGAGCCCCACATCTCTGTGGACATGAGTTTGAGCAAGCTCTGGGAGTTGGTGATGGACAGGGAAGCCTGGCGTGCTGCAGTCCATTGGGTCGCAAAGAGTCGGACACGACTGAGCGACTGAACTGAACTGATCTCTGTCTCTGAGCCCTGGACCTGAGCGCCACCCTGCCTCTGTGCTCATGATGGGTTCTCACCCCTGACCCACGCCTCCCTCGTCAGTCCATGCAGTGCAGGTGTCCTGACTTCTGAACTCTTGTAGGACTTCTAAACTCCTTTCCGTCCACCTCCCTGTCAGTCCCGCTCTGGCCGTCACCAGCTCTCTCTCGCCATCTGCCCTGCCCTCCCAGGTGTCCCTGCACAGCCTTGTTCCCTCCGATTCTCCACTTGGCAGCTAGAGCGACCTTCCCCAAACACAGTAAATGGGTCCGCCTCTGTTTAAAAACCCATTGTGTGTACTAAGTCGCTTCATTTGTGTCCGACTCTTTGTGACCATGTGGACTGTAGCCCACCAGGCTCCTCTGTCCATGGGATTCTCCAGGGAAGAATCCTGGAGTGGGTTGCCATGCCCTTCTCCAGGGGATCTTCCAAACCCAGGGATCAAACCTGTGTCTCTCACATCTCCTGCATTGGCAGGTGGGTTCTTTACCACTAGCCCCACCTGGGAAAACCTTAAAAACCCATCACCAGACTCCATTAAGTGCTGGATAAAGCTCAGCCTCCTGCCAGGCCCTTCCTGTCTGTCCTCCCGCGTGCTGGGCCTCCCCCCACACTCCCACCGTAACGCCAAGAGCACCACGTTCTCTGTCGCTGTAGAACTCTGCACGTGCTGTGTGCCCTCTCTCCATCTTAAGTCTCAGCCCAGCACCTTCACATTGCATGATACTCACTTCGTACATACTCTGGGCTTCAACTTAAATGTCCCTTCTTCTGGGAAGTCTTGCCTGACTACTCTTCCCCTAGCTTCAGCTTCACCAAGTCTGAAGAGACTCTCAGCTCTGTGCTCCCAGAGCATCCTTTACAGACTTCATTGCATTTGCTTCTTTTAATAGACGGTCTCTTCCCCTAGACTTGAGGGCCTGGACTGTCTTGATTGCAGTGGTATCCCCAGGGTCCCTAATTGCAAGTATTGCCAGAAAATGCCTTCACTGGAGAAAAAAATGTTAGGTTTCGATTGCAGCGGCTGTGGTATAGAAACAGGCTTATTTAGTTATTTTCTGATTTCTATTAGTTGCCCAAATTTATGGATATGTTGTTTTTACCTTTCATAATGCCGAGTTCCATTCCATTACACCAGAGCCCTCTGTTGCTTGAAGCTGGGCCAGTTTGAAGAGGCAAAGCAGGACTGTGACCAGGCCCTTCGGATGGACCACAGGAGTGTGAAAGCTTACTATAGGCGAGCCCTTGCCCACAAAGGGCTCAAGGTGAGGAAATCCTCGTTTTCATATGTCGGGGTCAGCTCTGAACAAGTAACCTGCTTTCAATGAACATGACTTGCAGGCTTGAGGAATGGGCATGGCAGTGTCCTGGGGTTTAAGTCTGGTGATCCTGAAATCTAAGAAGATGCCACAGATTTCTAAGATTCCTTCTAGCTCAAGAATGATGATTTATTTCCTGATTTTCTAAGGAGTGTCGTTCGTTAGAACAGGTCCACTTTAAGGGACAGGAAGGTTTGCTGAATTACTGAAGGCCACCGGCAGTGCCGCTGGATTCCTCGGGCAGAGGGTTGGGGTTGTCTGTGGTGGGGTGGGGGGAAGGAACAGAACAGAAGAGGTGTTCACCCATAGACGCTGGTAGAGACACAGCAGAGGCTGGGAAGTTCATGGTGATTTGAGCTTTAAACTAGCAAGTGGTCCCTATGAGACCATAGGACAGCATTCTTCTCTAAGAAAACCATTTTCAAAGAAAGTTTATATGATTACACTTTTCTTGATGCTGCTGCTTCTGTGTGGAAAACTCAAGTGAACATTCTCATTTGTAGAAAATAACAACACAAGGAAAACTCAGAACATTCTGGGAAATGGCATTTCCTACAATGGTATTTTTAAAGAATCTGATTAAAGTTTAATACAGTGAAATTCACACATTGTAAGTGTACAGGTCATTGACTTTTTTTTCTTCTTTAAAGTGTTTTTTTAATTGAGATATTATTGACATTTTATATTAGTATCAGGTGTGCAGCATAGTGATTTGCTATTTGTATGTATTGTGAAATGATCAGATGATCACAGTATGTTTGGGTCACCATACAGCTGCTGCTAAGTCACTTCAGTCGTGTCCGACTGTGCGACCCCACAGATGGCAGCCCACCAGGCTTCCCCGTCCCTGGGATCCTCCAGGCGAGAACACTGGAGTGGGTTGCCATATCCTTCTCCGAGTTCACCATACAGTTAACACATTTTTTTCTCGTGATGAGAACTTCAAGATTTATTCCCTCAGAGACTCTCAAATATACAATATGCTATTATTACCTCTTGTCATCATGCGATACATTACATCTCCATGGCTTATTTCGTAACTGAAATTTCATACCTTCTGAGCATCTTCGATGATTTTGCCCATCCTCTACTCCCCAACCCCCACCTTTCCTCTGGCAACCACTAGTTTTGTCCTCTGTTTCTGTGAGTCCAGGTTGTTTTTCAATTGTTGGGTTTTCTTTTCTTTTTTTTTGGATTCCGCATATAAGAGATCATATGGTAATTGTCTTTCTCTGTATGACCAATTTTACTTAGCATGATGCCTTCAAAGTCCATCATGTTGTCACAAATGGCAAAACTTTCCTTTTTAATGGCTGAATAATATTCCATTGTACAGATATATCACATTTTCTTTATCCATTCATTCATCGATGGACACTTAGGCTGCTGTTGTGAATAATGCTGCAGTGAGCATGGGAATGTCTTTTCAAGTTAGAGTTTCTGCTTCCTTTGGATAAATACTGGGGCTGCGTCCCACGTTCTGTCTCAGGTCTGTGATGTATGCGGTGCAGTGGGATGAGGGAGGGTGTACAGCTGGAGGGAGAGGTTTGAGGGCAGAGTGTTGACCTTACTGAGTTTGAGAGAGTTCTTATAACTCCATGAAACCTAGGTTTTGTTGCGAGAACGTGGTCATGTTTTTTGTGTCTTGTATCAGATGAGGATGTGTGCTTGTGCTCTGAGCACTCAGGCTTTTCTAGAGCCTAGATCCCCTCAGGTTGCAGTGGAGTGACAGCTGTTACTGAGGCAAGATGACCCGTCACCACCCTTCAGGCGTGCTGCCGCCCTCCCTCCCCTCCCCGGCCCTTCCTTTTGTTATAAAGGATACAGATGAACAGCCAAGTGAAGAGGTGCAGAGGGCAAGGTCCAGAAGTGTCCCAAGTGTAGGAGCTTCCGTCCTGATGAAAGTGGGTCGTGTCACCCTCTGGCATGTGGCTGCCCCGTTCGCCAGCCCAGCAGCTCCACAGCGGCCCTGTATTCCCAGTGTGTTCACTCTGTTCCCAGTGCCCAGGCCACCTGACCTGCCACCCCCACTCCCGTCCTCTTTTTTTGTTAACAACCTACTCATTTGTAAACCTCACGTAAAGATTTCCTAGTGGGTGTGTGGCACCGTGAATTAAAAGAGGTTTCTTGAAAGTTTACTCAGCTGTTTTTGAACTTAATGGATTGGGTCCATGAGGCAGTCATGATCTTCATGACTCATGAGTTTCTATATCGATATGTCCAAACTCTTAGAGCAGGTTTATCCCATACTGGCTGCCTCACTCTTTGAAAGACCGGAATTTTATACTTCCTTGGAATGAATTCTGGAAATTTCATTATGATGCAGAAAGAGAATCCCAACTTTTAGTAACCCTACCCTGGTGTAGAGTATGAGGCTGGCAGCTTGTTTTTTTGGTTTGATCTCTCATAGCTTTATCTACATCCCCTGTAGTTTGAGTTATGTGCCAAGTGAATTTAATTTGAGGATCTTCAAAGGCTACTTATAAAATGCATCAGAACTCACACCTGGACTGGCTTCCTCTATATGACTGCTAAGGAGGTGGCCCACAGGCCCACAGGGAGCAGGGCCCAGCCTGTGTTTCTCAGCTAAACTCTGCTTTCTCAGATATTTTATTTGTTTTCCAGCTGGCTTTAATTTCTTTCTTTCTTTTTTTTTTTCTTATGTGCTAGGTTTGAAAACTACAGAGCTTTCCTTTCTTTTCCTATGTAGTTTATCGTTGGCTGCACTGGGTCCTCGTTGCTATATGCTGGCTCTCTCTAGTTGCGGAGAGCAGGGGCCCCTCTCTAGTTGTGCGTGGGCTGCTCGCTCCTGTGGCTTCCCCTGTTGCAGAGCACAGGCTCTAGGGCACGCAAGCTCTGTAGTTGTGCGCGGGTTCAGATGTCTCATGGCATGTGGGATCTTCCCGGACCAGGGATCAAACCCATGTCCCTTGCATTGGCAGGCAGATTCTTAACCACTGGGCCACCAGGGAAGTCCAGGGCTTTTCTTACTGTTCAGCTGTTCTTCATAAGAGGAGATAACTGAACATCTTGGTTTTAGTTACAGTTTGTTTACTCTCTCGAGTGCCACGCATGTGCTGGGCTGTGGGAGCATAGGGGTGGTAAGACCTGTAGCCTGCCCTTGGGAATTGACAGCCGACCCCTGTGGGGACGCCAGCAGGCCCAAAGTATCAAAAACAGTAACATCATCTAAAATAATTGTTGTTATTGTAGTTTAAGCACATTTATTAATAGTAAATGTTGTCACAAACATATGTGATTTATCTTTTTTTTCTTTTTTAAGGCCTAATAAGGTCATTAGCATCTCTTCCTGTCCTCCTTTTTTGCTGGAGCCACTTTCCTCTCTGTGTGAGCTCTGCCCTCCACTGCAAGGGCTGGCTTTCCTTCCAGTCTGCTCTGACAAGCAGTGTCAAAGGAGACTCCTGCCGCTTGTTAGCGTCCACCTCAACCCTTGCTTTTCTTACTTGCGTGAATGACAGTGCACTCATGCTTACTTTCTTTATTCGTCCACTCGCTCATCTTCTTATCGTCTCCCCTCATAAGACGTGAGCTTCCAGGCCCCGCTGTCCGCCCCCCCACCGTGTCCCAGCCCGCAGCACACGGCGCTCTGGTGGCCCGCCTGGTCTGACGCTGTGCTGGCCAGGCGGCTGGGCCCCTCGTCCGCACCCCCGACCCCATGGCCCTTCTGCTCTCGGGCCCTCTCTTCACGCTGCCTGCCTTTGTCTATCATTTATCCAAGTGTACTTCTTGCTTTCTTAGGTTTTCTTCTAACCAAACAGATTGGTTCTTTAGGCACGAACTTTCCTTGAACGGATGGAGAAACAGTCATGTCCACGCCTCGGTGGTGACCCTCCATTTCCAAGGCTCCATTTTCAGGCCTCTCCCTTGAGCTCCACAACCGTTCTCACCCCGCCTTCTGCTCATTGCTGCCTTGATCATCTCAAAGATGATCTTTCTGTGCCTTGGTTTCCTCGTCTTTAAATGGGGACAGTAAAAGTTGTATTTATAGGGCGGTGCTGGGAGGGATTGGGGGCAGGAGGAGAAGGGGATGACAGAGGATGAGATGGTTGGATGGCATCACCGACTCGATGGACATGAGTTTGAGTAAACTCTGGGAGCTGGTGATGGACAGGGAGGCCTGGCGTGCTGCGTTTCATGGGGTCGCAGAGTCGGACACGACTGAGCGACTGAACTGACTGAGCTGTGGGAATAAAGTGTGGAGGAGGAAGACTTAGCCATTAGCCCTCCCTCCACATGCCCTGCTGCCCCACCCCCTTGTCTTTCCCTCCAGTTCCCTCCTGTCTTTCTATACAATTCCCGCCCTGCCTGAACACCCGGGAAGGAAACAGTGTCACTTGCTTTCTTGAAGCAGGTTCTGACTGTGCTCTGGTGACACACAGCTCTGTGCAGATTGGTTGTCAATAGTATTGATGTACTATATAGTTTGTAAATAATTCACCTTTTTTTTTTTTTCCATTTATTTTTATTAGTTGGAGGCTAATTACTTTACATCATTGCAGTGGGTTTTGTCATACATTGAAATGAATTAGCCATGGATTTACATGTATTCCCCATCCCGGTCCCCCCTCCCACCTCCCTCTCCACCCGATCCCTCTGGGTCTTCCCAGTGCACCAGGCCCGAGCACTTGTCTCATGTACCCAACCTGGGCTGGTGATCTGTTTCACCCTAGATAATATACGTGTTTCGATGCTGTTCTCTTGAAACATCCCACCCTCGCCTTCTCCCAGAGTCCACAAGTCTGTTCTATACATCTGAGTCTCTTTTTCTGTTTTGCATATAGGGTTATCGTTACCATCTTTCTAAATTCCATATATATGTGTTAGTATACTGTAATGGTCTTTATCTTTCTGGCTTACTTGGCTCTGTATAATGGGCTCCAGTTTCATCCATCTCATTAGAACTGATTCAAATGAATTCTTTTTAATGGCTGAGTAATATTCCATGGTGTATATGTACCAGAGCTTCTTCATCCATTTGTCTGCTGATGGGCATCTAGGTTGCTTCCATGTCCAATAATTCACCTTTTTTAAATAATAAGTTAGAGTGGGTTTAAGCACATCCCTTTGAGCACATCACTCTTGCTCTGGTATATTGCTGGGTGGAGTGGGACGGGCTTACAGCTGGGAGTGTCCCTTACAGCTAGTCCCCCAGGAATGTCACATAACCACTAGCTCATTTTACCTGTGCTTCCTGTCCGGTGCATGCTATTATTATATGTCATGAATACTTGAGAGGTTACACATCGTTGGAACTCTTCACCTCCTCACAGAATTAATTTTGGCTTAATTCTTAACATGAGTCTGGTCTATAGTTCTAGAATATGGCCTCTCACCAGCCAGCTTTTTTTGTGGTGTCCTTCTCTGCCACCAGATTCTGCGCAGTGTTTGGTTAAGCACAATACTTTTCATTCCTTTCCACCTCTCCAAGGTATTGCCTGACTCTTTATGGAAGAATAAATGTTGACTCTAGCCTGTCTGAACAGTTTACGATTCCAAGGGTGTTATGGAATAGGATATTATGGTATCAACTAAGATTTGTCCAGCTCTTTGTAGGTGTAAGCCACTCACATTTTGTTTAATTAATTCATTTATTACTTGGCACAACTCTGTGAAAACTAGAATGAAGAATCTTTTGTTGTTCCTATTTTAAAGATGAGAAAACTGAAGCTCGGAAACGTGATGTGGGATCTAGCTCAAGTTTTTGCTGCTAGTAGGTGCTGATATGAGGCTGTTGCTTCTTTCATTTATTCATTTAGCAGACTGTGCCTGTGTGTCAGGGACAGTGAAAGCTGTGGTAATACAAAATTTAACTTCTGACTCCAGATTCTGTGCTCACTCTTCTGTGTTATGTGTGTGTGCGTGTTCAGTTGTGTCCGACTCTTTACGACCCTGTGGACTCTAGCCCACCAGGCTCCTCTGTCCATGGGATTCTCCAGGCAAGAAGACTGGAGTGGGTTGTCATGCCCTCCTCCAGGGAATCTTGCCGACCCAGGGATCAAACTTGAAGTCTCCTGGATTGGCAGGTGGATCCTTTATCACTGAGCCACCTGGGAAGCCCCTTTTGTTATGGATCATAGTGTTTTAGCCCAAGTCTTAGCTTGTAGGCCTGACTTTATCACTGTGGTACCAAGGGGAACCTGCTGCACATGCTCTGTACTTACCTCACCAGTCTCCCATTCAGGCTCATCTGTGCCCCTTCTCCTTTTATTTATGAGAATTATTTTCTCTGCCCTCCTGCTTTCAGAATTATCAGAAAAGTTTAAATGATCTCAATAAAGTTCTCCTACTAGACCCAAGTATTGTTGAGGCAAAAATGGAACTGGAAGAGGTAACCAGAATCCTTAATATTAAGGACAATACAGCATCATTCAACAAAGAAAAGGAGAGAAGGAAAATTGAGATTCAAGAGGTACGTGTATTTGATTATCTCTGAAAGTACTCCTTTGAAGATCCTATACTCATATGGGATTCTGAGGTCATATTCCTATGACTCTTTAAAATTCTGTGTTTTTATCCTGGTAATCAATAAAGACATTTTAACAGATTATAATGACAAAATTTTTCTTTTGTTGTGCTAATTGGCCATTGCATTTCCCACCTTGGATCCAAGAACCTGGTGGGTGTCTGCAGTCTTTCTTTCTATGCTCCCCTCCCTCCACGCCACCTGGCCTGTGGTTTTATTGCTTCCATTCCTGGTTGCCCTGTAAGCCTGCTACCACTGAGCTTTGCTTCCTGGTTGACCTGAAGAACCCTATAGGATGATTCAGATTCAGCGTCCTGGACACCACACCCCAGAGAGGTTCCTGATCAGTTCAGACCTTTCTTAGTATTTGTAAACAAGACCAGCCTCATCAGGGGTCCTGGAACACCCTAGAACCAAACCTGCCGTTGTGATTTCAGATTACCCAGTGCCTTGTGTTGTAGCCTTTAGTGAAGAATGTCAGCTCGTGGATCCCTGTGTATTCATGAATGCTCGTACCAACCTACCTATCATCTTACATGTCCACTAAGAGTAGGAGGCTAATATGTGATAGAAGCTAGGGAGTTTTTTCACCACTAAGGAGGGAAGAAGAAAACTGTTTTTAAGAGAACTGAAAAATGTAAGTTCACTTCCCTATCAAATATAAGAAATAAGTAAATATAAAATCTGTCACAAAGAGGAGGTATAAAGTTGTCATAGGTCTTCTTTTACACAGCAGCTTTTACTTGTGGAAAATTATAAAAATTTCATGGTCATATTCTCAATGTCAAAACAATTTTTAAACCTTAAAAAAAGAATACTTTTATGAATGGATATTTAGACTTTAAAACTTATCTTCCTAAAAAATAAGTAGATTTTATGACTTATTACAAGTTATATATTTTTCACTTAGAACTTAACTAAAATGCAGTCCATTTTGTTTTTTCAGTTCCTTCCTGTTTTAATGAAAGTAACTTGGGGGTGTGTGCAGGGCCTGCTGTTTGGGTCACAGTGTAATTTTTCTCCTCCTGCAGGTGAGTGAAGGCCATCAGGAAGAGTCTGAGAGGACCTTGAAGGAAGCCCCCACGGACGACGGCCTTGCTTCTGAGAAGAGGGACACCAGTAATGGGCCACAAGAACTCTATGAGAAACTGCTGATCTCCAGGCCTAACAATGCCTACGAATTTGGTCAGGTTATAAATGCCATCAGTACGAGGAAAGATCAAGGAGCCTGTGCACACCTGCTAGCCATCACTGAACCCAAAGATTTGCCAGTGTTGTTGAGTAACAAACTTGAAGGGGACACGTTCCTCCTCCTCCTCCAGTCTCTGAAAAGTCATCTTATTGATAAAGATCCCTCCTTGGTGTATCAGCATCTTTTATATCTGAGCAAAGCAGAAAGGTTTAAGGTAAGTGGCAAAAATATCTCAGTTGTGGAGATAGGTTCTTTTAGGGTTTTTATAACTTTAAAATGTTCATTTATAAGCTGATATAATTTTTTCCCTATTGCAGATGATGTTGACACTAATTAGCAAAGACCAAAAGGAGCAGATTAAGTGGCTCTTTGATGACCTCTCAGATGCACCAAACAAACACTTTACTTTAGAAGATGTACAGGCCCTCAAAAGGCACTATGATGTTTAAATCAAGATAATGGTTAGATTTCTTCCATGTATGTATGTGTTCCGGTAATGCCAGTGAGATGGTATTGTAATAGAGTTGCATGGATAAAACCTGGCTTAGAAAAGATCCCTTGGTCTGGACTATAAAATATTTTACTTATTTTTATACACAGAACACGTATATTCTACAATCTCCTTTTTATTAGTTGTAAATATTTTCTTATGTACCAGAGCTAACATCTTTATATTTAATAATAAGTATATTTGGAACTTGTTAAGATGCATTTTAACTTATATTATACATTTTCTCTTAATGACTTGTTAAAATTTTGAGTTAAATTCTACTTTTTTGGGCTATGAAGCAGTCCTCTTAAGTTTGGTAGAAATGTCATTTCTTTATAGTTCATTTTTAAAAGTGAAAATCATTAACAGTGATTATTACATCACCTTTATTTCCTGCTAAGATATATGTAAATCCCATTTTATATTACTTGTGGATGACAGGCCTCTAAGATGAAACACAACATTTAAGTCTATAATAGGAAATGATTATTAAATAAATTGTGGTTATTTAGAGCTATAAGAGGAACGTATTTTTTCTAATAGGGAAGTATTGCCTACTAATTAAGAACAGAAATTGCCAAAAATTCTATTACTAGATTTTTGAAGGCTGGTTTCCCTTATGTGTTGTTTATATAAGCAATAACAGAACAGCCACTGTATAAAAGCAACCAAACCTGCATTTCTATTTGAATTGTCACTTGCACATTTCCCCCAAACATTTTAAGTTACTTCTCCCTCTTTTGTTCCCTCCTCCTTTAAGCATGATCATATTTATTCCCTTAGTGCAAAAGGGAAAATGAAGAACTCTTTATATTGAGAGCTCACTTGTCACTTGGGTCAAAGTAAAGGTATTTCTTAAAATAAAACATTCAGGTCTCTATCAGTGTGCTGTCATTTATTCCTGTAGTCTTTGGTCAGTTCTCTTTTTTTCTGGAGCATTTTCTTATTCTTCAGAAAAGCAGATGAAAGAAGACTATCACATTCATTATTACCATGCCCATTATTATTTTATCTAATATTTAATAATTAAAGAATATTTAAAGTGTTGTGGGGAAATGGTTTCACACTGTGCCATTTTTCCTTAAAATATTTATTTATTTATGGCTCTGCTGGGTCTTCACTGCTGTGCGGGCTTTTCTCTAGTTGCGGTGCACAGCTTCACCTTGCGGTGGCTTCTCTTGTGGAGCAGGGGCTCTGGGGCACGTGGGCTTCAGTAGTTGTGGCTCCCGGACTCTGGAACACCGGCTCAGTACTTGTGGCGCACAGGCTTGGTTGCTCCTTGGCCCGTGGGATCTTCCCAGACCTGGGATCCAGTCCATGTCTCAGGCGTCGGGCAGGCAGATTCTTTGCCACTGAGCCACCAGGGAAGTGCCACCCCCTCCCCCTCAATTTTTCTTTTAAACTATTCTTTCCTAAGTTCATAAATGAAAATCTACTGTGATGGGTATTTAACTCTATAGTCTTCAAGCAAAAAAAAAAAATAGTTTTCTCCTTTTGAATGATAGTTTTTTTGTATAAGCAAATGAGGGAGTGTGTTAGTAACTATATAGTAGAAACATAAAAAGGAAACAGTTACATACCCAGTACTAGCTGCAGGGGACAGCCTCCCCCATGGAGGAGTGGGAAGCAGTGGGCTGTCCCAACTGTTGGGGTCACACAGTGGTACCAGCAGTCCGGAGGTGGGACTTCCATGATGGAAGGAAGGGAAGAGGAGGTGAAGGAAGCAGGTAAGAATATCAAGGGCATGAAAGGAGCACGGTTCCTGCAGACTGCTTCAGGACTTCAGCAGGAAGTCTGCCCACGAGTCTCTGGGAGTACCCCACTCAGGGATCTCTCTGCTGGGTCTGTGGGTATCCCCAACACCCCAAGTGCTAAACCCACACCCCCTCCCATTCTGTGGCACGCCCCTGAGTGTGGTGGCAGTGAGAGCAAGCCCAGTAGTTGGAGTATTCAGAGAAGAGTGGACCAAGGTGTGCAGGTAAGAGAGAAATTGCAGTTGGAGCTATATATAACACTACCTTCTAGAAAACAAAAGAGAGATTTCCAGCAGCCACTCCAGTGAGCTCTAGGAACAAGAAGAAACATCAGAGTTCCTCCACAAGGCTGAACAAGAAGAGTGGAAGAGGTCCACCCATTCAGAAATCAAGGAAACCCCTCATATAGCAACACCAGTGATCAGTACCGTCTAAAGGCAACCAGTAAAGACTTAAGGAGAGGTCTGCTATTTCAAATACAGAAACAGCGACACAAAGACACAAGGAACATGAAAAATCAAGAAAATATATCACCCCCAATAATTCTGCAACAACTGAGCTCAAAGCCACAAAATACTCTGATGTAGCTGATAGAAATTTCAAAATAGCTGTTTTGAAATAAGTTAACTACAGGAAATCTCAAAGATAGCTTAATGATAATAGGAATGAAAATACATGAACAAAATTAACTCTGCCAAGAAATCACAAAAAGAATTAAACTCTGGAGCTGAAAATTTCAATGCATGAGATGAAGAATGCACTAGAGAGTGTCTGCAGTAGTGCATTTCTTCCAACAGTAAATGACTTAGGGGATGAGAATTTTTAAATAAATCACAAGGTAAAAAGCAAAGAAAGCATGTATGATCTATGGGATTTGAGAGCAGATATATGCTAGGAGAATTGGGAATCCAGAGGGAGAAGGGGACAGAACGTTTACTTAAATATTAGCTGAAAACTTCCCAAACCTGGGGAGACTTGGACACACAAATTCACAAAGCTAATAGATCACCCTATTTAAATGTGAAATTGCCTTCTTCAAGATACACTGTAATGAAATTACCAAAAATCAAAGCATCTTAAAGGCAGCCAAGGAGTTAAAAAAAAGTGTAACCTACAATGGAGAAGGAAATGGTAACCCACTAAAGTATTCTTGCCTGGAGAATGCCATGGACAGAGGAGCCTGGCAGGCTACAGTCCATTGGGTCACAAAGAGTTGGACTTGACTGAGCAATGGAGTATGAGTATAACCTACAAAGGTACATCCATTAGACTATCAATAGGTTTCTCACCAAAACCTCTCAGTCTAGGAGACAGCAGAATTACATATTCAAAGTGTTGAAAGGTAAAAAATGCCCACCAAGAATACTCCATCTAGCAAAGTTATTCTTAAGATATGAAGGAAAAATATCTTAAAAGCTGAGGGAGTTTATCACCATTAGACCTGCCTTGCAAGAAATGTTAAAGGGAGTTCTTAAAGCTGAAATGAAAAGAGGTTCATCAGTGACATGAAAACAACTTTAAACCTGTAAAGATGAAAAATATGTACTCAAATTTAGAAAATTCTGTAATAGGATGCTGTATTAGCAACTTTAATTATAGATAATGGTTAAAGGAAAAGAGCATTAAAAATAACTATAGCTATTATAATTTGTTAACAAATATACAACATAAAAAGATAATTGTGACATCAAAAATATAAAAGGAAGGGGAGTGAGGGTGGAAATTTCATGGGCAAATGAAGATGCTATCAGTGTAAAATGGACTGTCATCTATGAGCTGTTTTAGGTAAGCCTTGTAATCAACAAAGCAAAAATCTAGAGTAGATTCATGAAAGATTTTAAAAAAGGTAAATAGCATACCATCATGGAAAACCACTTTACAAAGATGAAAATGAATGAAAAAGAAACAACGGAAATAGAAACCACCAGAAAACAGTAAATACATATGGGTATAAGTCCTTACATATGGGTCATCAATTAAAAAGAGTGGCTGGATTGATTAAAAAACAAGACGCCCCCCCCCCCAAAATAAGAACCCAATTATATGCTTCCTTCAAGAGATTCACTTCAGCTTTAAAGACACACAGGCCCAAAATGAAGGGATGGAAGAAGATATTCCAATACAGGTGGAAACCACAAAAAGCAGGATAGCATACTTATATCAGACAAAATAGACCTTAAGCCAAAAACAATAAGTGAAGAAAGTCGTCATGTAATAATAAAAGGGGTCAATAAGCAGGAAGATATAACAATCATAAAGATGGGGATAGGCACAAAACATAGGAGCATCTAAATATATGACTAAATGGGATTTATCCCTGGGATACAATGGTTCAACATATGCAAGTTAATTAAAAAAAATCACAATCATTTCAATAGGTACAGAAAAAAGCATCTAACGAAATGCAACATCCTTTCATATAAAAACTCGCAACAGATTAAATACGGAAGAAACATACCTCAACATAATAAAAGCCATATGCAACAAGCCCACAGCAAGCATACTCAAGGATGAAAAATTGAAAGTATTCCTCTAAGATTAGGAACAAGACAATTGTTCTTATTCAATACTAGTACTGGGAGTCCTCACTAGAGCAATTAGGCAAGACAATGAAAGAAAAGGCATCCAACTTGGAAGAAAGGAGTAAAATGTTCATTATTTGCAGACAGATGATTTGATTTTCTATCCAGTTGATTTATGTCTGGGTTGACTGGATCTACAGATTCAGAATTCATGAGAGGGCCAACTGTACTACACCATTTTTTTAATAAGGGACTTATGCATCCATGAATTTTGGTATTGGTGGGGGTTCCAGAAATCAGTCCCCCACAGATACCAAGGGATGACAGTTTAGAAAATCCCAAAGTCTCAACCAATAAAATAGTTAGAACTAATCAACAAATTTAGTTAAGTTGCAGGATACAAAATCATCTTATAGATATCAGTTGCATTTTTATACACTAATAATGAAACACCTGAAAAATAAAACTATCCCACTCACAATGGTCTTCCCAGGTAGTGCTAATAGTGAAGAATCTGCCTGCTAATACAGGAGACAAGAGAGATGTGGGTTTGACCCCTGGGTGGGGAAGATCCCCTAGAGGAAGGCATGGTAACCCACTCTAATATTCTTGCCTGGAGAATGCCATGGACAGAGGAGCCTGGTGGGCTATGGTTCATAGGGTCATAAAGAGTCAGACACGAC